GGTAATTTTGAAGTGAAGCTGTGGATCCTGCTTTACTAAGGCGAATTTGGATGCGGAACTATTCTAATCCACGGTCTAGATTCAACTCTCACACATGTCTTCAAGAAGTCGTATGGGAACTGCGACAGTCCCACCCCAGTCAATGGCACCGACTTGCCGGATAAACTATGGTGAGAATAGCCGGAAGGATTCCTATTGTGTTTAGAGCCAGATAACTTCCTTACTATCATGAATGGACTGGCCCGTGCATGATACGTAGTCCGGTGTAATTTTCTAGAAAAGGGAAAAGGAGGATAATACTATTACAGTGACTTGTCTATTGATTACTATTATCACGAATGACTCGGTCGAGTTAAGTGTTGTGTCTTGCCAGACCGCACATCACAACAGTTTCCTGACCGGATTTCTCTCCGGCTCAGCTGTGCCAAGTGGCTATCCACCAGTCGCCATCTTAGGTGGATGAGCTTTGGTCAGCGGATTTACCAGTGGGCGGAGGAACTTCTGAGGAGAGGTGTTGGTTAACTTCAACAACCCCGGTAAAAAAGGAACCGACAAGCCATTGTACTATTTTGCCTTGAACTTCACCATGAAGCACAATGGCAAGAGAGAAGAGTGGTAGCCACAGGGGCTCAAAATGTGCTATCTGAATAAATACTGATGAATAACTTTTGACTTTTTATTATCAATGCAATACCAGCCAGCCATTCACACAAACGCAGTAAATAGATTTCTCCAGATTTTCGTGCCTGTGAGTGTTAAACTCTCCAAATCCGCTTTTCACATTGTGTATTCCAGAAATTTTTAGCTGTCTCTTTCTGATTGTAATTATTCTTTTCCTATTCACTTTAAAATGTCTACCTTGCTCACATGTTTAAAAATGGATTTATGCTGCTATATCTGGACCGGAACTTCCCAATACCCACTTTGCACCCTTTTTAGAGGGAAGAAGCGTCTACGCGGCCTTGTAGGTGATGAATTCCTTTCCACTCTACAACCACTTTCCCACAGACGAAACATTGCAAGCTAGCCAGTACGTACAATGGGACGAATCAAATCCAGTTGGTATTCCCTTGGTAAGATGGATGTTCCATTTGGCAGCTTCTTCCCAAGAAATCTCTACATTGTTGAACAAACTCCGGAGAAGATGCTCCCTCGATCGGAATTATTTTAACCTCTTCAAGTCTCGGGTCAACTGGTATCATTCCATACAACTTTATCATCTGCATTTCTTATCTCCTCATCCTTTACGTTCATGCAACAACCTCATTCAGAAGCCCTGTTTCTTGAGTGACTCTTGAGCCTTGTATTGCAGAAACAATAGTAAAACTGTTTTTATCAATGAATTTTCTCAGAATTATTCAGTAAAAGTATATTTATTTTTGTAGAAGAAGAAGAAATTAATTTATCACGGTTACAATGTGAAAAAATCGTATCAGTATAGCCACGACTTGACTTCAAGATTATAGCGGAGTACTTTCTTATCCCCTCCACGATGACTTTATTGAGACACCACCTCTCGTTAGCTGACCGCCGGGTCATTCTTGACCCTCCCCCCCCGGTGCTTTTATAGGTTTTATTTTTCATCCTACAGAATTGCTATCCCTCCTCTTCGTAACCTACGGGTTTTTGCGGTTAAACCGTAGATAATTTCAGGCAACAGAGATATGGTTTCACAGAAGTATTCTGAGAATACCATAGACGGAACAAGTGAACAACTAGGAAGTTTTATGGAAAAGGTACTTAGAATCAGAGACAGTTAAAATTTCTGGGACAAACAATGGTAAAAAGAAAACTTGGAGATTTTAACACTCACATGACATATTAAAGTCTAGATGGTCAGAGGGAAACATCGAGTAACTTACTTAACGAGCTTATGTAAATGTATGGCAGAATATGGACTTGAAGTATAAGTGGACAATATTGATTAAAGCTACGAAAGATAAAAAGTTGTGGAAAGAATACTGCACATAAAAAACATTTTCTTTCAGTATTGGTATACGCTTTAATAGATATAAAATATGATGGACTTTTGTATCCTGAAGTGATAAAGTTCTGATGATTATCATTAATAAGGGAATCAAGAAAAGCGATTTATATTGACACAGACGAAAAATTCATGAGAAGGTCGATATCGAATCGTATCAAAATAGAAATTTGCGTTCGGTTTCCTTCAAATATCTCCATTCCTAAAAGAATTACTTTTTTCTCAAGCCAATATAAATGGTTATAAAATGTTAAAAAATTAAAAGAAAACTAATAAATTCAAAACATATTTAAAATATATAATGCATAAATTGCCCCAAACAAAAATAATATAAATATTAATTACATTATTTAAAAAACATTGACAACTACATTGACTTGCTTTTGTTTATTAGACATTAAATTACGTCACAGGGAATCATACAAAATTTAACTAGACTTTTCAGTTAATATATACATATATAAAAATGAGCCTTCTTAAATATAACATTTTGGAAAATTTTTACATTTGTTTATTAATACTTCTTGCAAAATAAAAAATCTTACCTTTTCCCTGATGAAGTCCATCAGGGGAGGAAAAATGTTGGCGAAAATAACGTTTCCCTTTTGTCTTTATTCATAAAAAAATAGAATTATTGAAAATGTTTGTTTTATATATATTTTAAAACTTAATAAATATCTTTTGTTTGTAAGAATATACCCGACATATATAGAAGCTTTATCTTGGCGGGTTAAAACATTATTTTCTGGGAGTGCAATAATATAATTTCGGAAAGAAGTCTTATTTTTCGATAAAAAATTGTCAAAGTTTAAAAAATGTACAGCCAATTACAGAAGAAAATGCAAGGAAACATATAACGAAAAGTAACTATAATTATAAATTTTGACAAATGCATTTTTCCGGATATAACACATATTTTGTCAGATTAATTTATAGCTCAGATTACTTGCTTTAATTTTCCAGGCGAGTGGAAGGTTACCTGGCTGTTCATATATCTTCATTGCAAAGCAGGCAATTATTTTATTTAAATTTTCTTGTTCTACATTCAGATATTTTTATGAATTTATGATTAAAACGTGTTCATAGTTATATCGTAAATAATGCATGTTGCATTATAGTTGGTTCACGTATTTTCATATAATTTTCATAATCTAATAAGCTTGTGTAATATATTATTATTATTATTATTATTATTATTATTATTTGTTAATGTTTTATTAAAATAATAATTATTATTGTTTTATTAAAATTATTATTATGAAAAGTTAATTTTGATTATTTTATTATTATTTATTTATTTATTTTTTATTAAAATTATTATTAAAAGTTAAGTTATGATTAATAAGGATAAAAATTATTCTTTTAAATAAACAATCCAATAAATAAATAGTGTCTTATATTTTTGCTGTCAATTTTCGAAAAAAAAAAATCCAGTTTCATGTTTGGCTTTTATTAAAATTCTAAAAATAACCTCTTTAAAACAATGAAAATTTGCAACAACCTTTACAGTAATCGCAGTGTCATGCACAAAACTCTTGTTTTGACTCACCATTTCGGGTAACTTTGTTAAAATTCAAAATTCAACATTGCTAACCAGAATTTTTTGTAAAACGTTTGAATATTGTCAAATGAGGCTAAACATAAATGAAGGGAGACGACAACATTTATAACTCCATGTGGCAGGTACATGTTGAATAGATTCTCAGAGGTACTTCTGGGGGGGGGGTACCCCGGATGAATTCCAGCAGATCTCGTTTGAAAACTTTGGAGACATCAAGAACGCTATGTCCATGGCCGATAACACATATGTGGTTTAAAAGAAGATGATAGCGACCACGACCAAACGCTCAATGAGTTCCTTCAAGGTGCCAGGGTAACAAAACCCGCAATCTCAGTTCTAAAAAGTTAATGGTATGCACATCGACGGTACGATTCCTCGGTCATATTGTGTGAAGTGACGGTGTAAAACAAGATGAAAAAAAAGATCCGAAGCAACCACTGAAATGCAACCTGAGGATGAGAAACAGCTATCCAACTTTCTTGGACTATTTAACTACCACAACAAGTTTTCGCTCCAATTTACTTTTCTGGCTAAGCCAATTAGCATCTGAGAACAGAAACCTCACGATGTCACCCCAGCAACAACCAGCGTTCGAAGGTTTGTTGTAATGAGCCAGGCCAGTCGTCATACAAGTTGATGCTTCGACTGCTGGACTTGGGGTAATGCACATGCAGAATAACATTCCAGATGCTTTGGCCGGCAAAACAGTCTCAGGATCAGAAACACGATACTCAACATCGTCAGGGAGATGTTCTCAGCTGTTTTCCGTCTGGGGAGATTCCATTATATTTAGGAAAAAGTGACAATTCAGAATGACCACAAACGATTAGAGTCAGTTGTCCTTAATATTCTGTCACAAGCTCTACCAAACCAAGGATAGTAATAATGCTGCTAAATATTCAAGGCTATGATTTCAAAATGAAACGAAGCCCAGGGCAATCATTTCCAATAGCCGACTGCTTGTCCAGAGTGTCCGTCATAAGCAGATTGAAGCATTGATCTCAACATCCACATAATTAATACACACTTTAATGCCTCACCAACATGCATACAAGACAGCAAGATGGAGATTATGAAGCATCCTACCCTGAGAGAGCTAATCCACAAAGCTATTTGATCGCTCTAATTGTCCAAGATGTCTACTTCCATACTAGAATATCTGGGATGAAATTTGCATTTATGATGGTGTTCTACTCAAATACCGCAAAATCATTATACCCAAACTACTCTAAACAGGCATTTTACTACAACTACATGTTATACAAGGAATTTGAGAACATTTGTATACGATCAAGAACTGTCGTTTTCTGCGTAGGAATGAACAGAGACATTGAGGACATGTTTACAAAATGTACCACTTGTCAAAAATACAAAACAGGTAATCACCTAGGAGCATTGTTCTAGCATGAGATTCCTTTCTATCAGTTCTCAGAACAGACCTCTTGACAATATAAGGCAACTAGTACCTTTAAGTGGCTGGCCAGTATAGCCGCAGTCTGTTCATATGGCGCCTTCTTTCTACCACGTCTTTCACAGTAATCAAGCAGATGAAGATATTTGGGGACCAAAGTCTACCTCAAGTGGTCTTCAGTGATAATTTTCCCCAATACACAAGTGAGGAATTTTCCAGTTTTTACAGATAAGATCAACTTTAAGAATACTACATCCGCATTGTTCACGGCCTAATGGCTTTGCAGAGAGGGTGGTTTATATATGAATGAAACTACTTTTGAAGACCCTATAAACGAGCATTGGCTGTCAATTGGCGATGATGTCATACAGAACAGCATCACTTGCAACCAACCTCAAGTACCCAATTCAATGCAAGGTCTATTAAGACGCCACTTGTCTTGAAAAATAGCAAACTAGAGACATGAAGCAATGGAGGAAAGTCAAAACAAAGATTGCGAAATATCCGCCGGTATCCACCTTTCCATGCAAAGCAATAAGTCCGTGTCCTGGATGAGAAAACCAAATGCTGGGAACCCGGAATTTTTACATAGGATACTGTAGACGCAAGATCATACTTAGTAGAATCTGCTGGTTGCAGCATCAATTGAAGGAATGGGAAATATCTATGGCCTTCGAGGAGTTAACTTGAAACCGCTCTATGGAAGCGTAGATGACCGATCAACTGCAGTCCATGCCAACTCACTATGCATTATTGATGGGATGCAGTCAAATTCTTTCAACCTTAAGCTTGCAAACGCCATCACCTATTATAACCTTCATACTCTACACTATCCTCCTTTTACAAAAGCCCTGATCGGTCCTGAACAGCTAAGACAATTTTAACAACGCGTAAAACCACCACAAAGTCTAGTATTGTGATACTGCAAATTACCCCCTCCTTGATTCATTTGAAGGCGGGAGATGTCTGTCACAAGCATGAGCCTAACTAAATGCTCCCCCTACTTCTCCAGTACTTCCGGCTAGTTAACTGCCCCTTCTCAAACCTACTTCCGAAACCTTAGTTTTTTTTTTGGGGGGGGGAGTTCGGGCTTTATCTTGCAATATAAAATTGCATACATGCTATGTCGACCACATCAATAGAGACCTGTTCTTAGACATTAGAAACCATCTTCCACTCTCTTAATCCACACTGAATATTTACATTTCAACGAGGAAATATATGGGTCCACAGATTTGTACATATCTAGTGCAGACCTAATATGGGAACATTTTAAACCTCATCAGGGTACGAGAAGAGGGAAATAAGAGCCAAAATCAATTTGATCTCTCCCTCAACGATATTTCATGCATAGACAAGGACAGTTGTGAAGAGATGGACACTGATCATTTAAGCATTCCATACGCCAAACGCATCTAATAATAGAAAAAGTCATTTCTGCTTTTCATCTCGATAAAATGTATAGATAATGAGGATGGGGGGGAGTTATGCCGATGACATAGGTACTCATAGTTGAGATAATGACCTTGTAAAGAAGATCAGGATCGGTTACCACTCTTCACACTAGTGGTTCGCTGGCGGGCCGCCGATGGTGAACGCTAGTGTCATGCCACTCAGTGACAGATTTTTGGCTTGCGTGTATGGAAGTGTTCTCTAAAGATAAGACTCAAGATAAACATTTCCAAAACAGAAACTATGAAAGCAGTGATGGTGCGTACACAGAATCTATCATATCAATAGTAAGTACTTCAGATATTTCAGTGTATGAATCAGTTACAACAAATTTAGCATAAAAGCTAAGGAAACTGGACATACAATAGGTTGCGCTGTGGGATCTAAAATAGTCTCGTCAGCAACTTTCATATGGATGTGATGCAGGGCTTCAGAAATATCTAGACTGTCAACTCTATGAACAAATGAACACTGTGAGTCCAAGCGAAGACTATCCTTTTTCGAACGTCATGGACTGACGCTACATAATCACAAACAAAGAGCTAATCCAAATAACAGAAGCCACATAACTTGAAGACTTTCAACAAGTGCAATAGCTAAAATGGCTATAACACTAAATATATAAATGGATGTAACTCTAAGACATAATGACATGATTAAAATTTTGACAATCTCCACTGCTTTATTGAAAGGTTAGGAAAAAACACCATCAATACATGAAAATACAACAACAGTGTATTGAGAAACCTATTTAAAAAATTGTTTTAATAGAAATATTTTATAAATTTCAACAGACGCAAACACAGTCTGCTCGTCAATGAATGCTGAATATTTCCTTCTACGGTTCATATTTTCATTTCATCTTCTAACAAATAATAACTATATTTCTTTCTTTTTTTCAGACGATCAGAAGAAAATCAACATATACTGATCATGTTGAAACATTTCTCTTGAGAAGTTTAACATGTTATCCCTCTGCGGAAAATACCATATAGAAATACAGAAAAAATAAACGTCTATGGGACCCCTTCTAATATCCATCAGATTTTGGTCTGCAGTTATTTAACCATAGCTGAAGGAAGTAAATATAAATTCATAAACTTTCTTAAAATAAACCTGACCAGAATTCGATATCACGATTTTTATACCTGGTCGCACCATAATATTAACTGCACATCCAATAAATAAATAAATCTATCTATCTATCTATCTATCTATCTATCTATCTATCTATCTATCTATCTATCTATCTATCTTTTGATTGAATGATTAATCTGCGCATCAAATCCTTATGGGTCATTTAATGTCGAAATTTAATTTTCTTGTGAGTTTTGAAGTAAGAAAAATACGATATGTTATTCTGCTTTCACAACTGAATACATGGTAGATGATACTCTGCATGTTTGTGTGGACATAATTAGTAGAGGCAGTGATTTTTTTTTTTTTAGAAATTGTAGGATATTATATGGATTAATGTCGTGAGAGAGATTTTGAATGTCAATTGTTTGGTTGGTTGATTTTGTTTAAATCATCTCTATGGGTTATTTAATGTCGAAATCTAAATATTTTGAACAGTTTTATGGCTTCAACTACAGATAAAATATATTGTTAATCATTTTGCTATAAAATGTATTGTTGGCAATTCTACTATAAATATTTATCGTTAGTAATTTTTTAATATAAAAATTCACTGCAGGTATTTTTACTATAAAAATGTATTGTTATACTTTCATAATGCTTGTGAGTTCACTATTTGCAATAGCTGGGGTCCTAACATTTGCTATCACCCGGGGTCAGGACCTGGGAACAACAGCAATTGCGAGGTGGTTCCACGCTCCTCAAAACCTCCAGTCTCTCGATCAGAGGCTTTGCTGACAGATGTAATTTATCATCATGCTTAGGAATAATCTATCTATATATCACCCTCACTCACCCTCTCTCTTTCTTTCTCTCTCTCTCTCTCTCTCTCTCTCTCTCTATCCATCTATCTATATTATATATTGATTTTCTTATATCTAAATATATAGGATTATATGAAATGTTTACAAATGAATAGTTTATAGATAAGTCTTATTAACTCTAACGATATTGCTTTTTTGGTCACTCAGATCGTGGAATATAATTAGTTGCTTGCGATTCCGAAAATATTACTTAGTATTTCAGATTTCCCGTGTTTCCAAGAATCGAGAAACTAAATGCGCCACTTAAGGATTTTCGAATCAATTTATTTCATATGTAAATAAGCAATTTTTTCCTAAGTCAGAATTGGCTTTCACTGCTGCCAATTCCGCCCACGCACACATATGAACACAGTTTGACCTTTATGCCTTTTGCCAAATATCTTTAAAATTGAAAAGAGAATTTTGAAGAGATTTTACAGATCGATGATTCATTTTGATCAAAGAATTATTAAAGAATCTTTCCGATTTTCCTCATTTGTGACTCTTGATATCTTGCATTCGAAAAATACGACATTTAAAATTTAAATGCATATAACTCTAATTTATCCTGGTGTAGTTGTTAACGAGCAAAATAATGTCGCATGCAATTGCTATATTTGTGAGTTCGATTCTAAGTAACCTATACACCATATTGCGATTATCCACGCTATGATTAGAAAATACCTGTTTTTGGTGTTTGAAAAACGCAGATCATTATTAACAGTACAACTCAACCATTATTAGTTGATTTTTAATATAGTTCAAGCTTACACTTTGAATTTGTATTGATATATAATTATGCTCATTAATCGAGATGAGAGTGGAAGAATTATCCTTTAAATAAGTATGACACATCAAAGTACAACGTACAATAGTCGAACGTACAATAGAATATACTTATCAATCAAAAACTAGTCAATTCATTACATTCGTCGATATAAAACGTATTGATAATGATCCTAAAACTGAATGTCCGTCGAAAATGATTTCATAAACTTATATTCACTCCAAAGCAACAAAAAGTCCAGAACAATTATCGGTTTCCATTGAAGAGCACTTTAGTCTTCAGTACTTATACGATTAAGTGAAATACATTGAAACTCATGCAATAATTACTTTATATGTAATATTCTTTGATGAACTCCTTATATTCACGGAACCTAGAAAATAAACATTATAAATAATCTTGAAAAAATTTAACACGTAAAAATATACCTGCCATCCCAATTGATATCAGACAGAAAGGAAACTACAAGAATTATAAAATACAGTGAAGACAATCGAGAAGAAAGGATTAATTTTCGATTGCAAAATGACACAATGAAATGGTCTTTAAAAAAAAAGAACAACTCAGCATGCTAATTACAAATTGGAGATATCAAAACCAAACAAGTGCAACAATTTAAATATCTGAGAAGTGTCTCAACAGAGAACTAAAAGTGCGACACTGAAATTCCAAGGTGCGTTGGGATAGAAAAAATTAATTTCCAAAAGCTAAGCAAAGTATTAACATGAAAATTTCGTTAGAAATTGAAATAGCATTGAACTGTTATATAATATCAGTCCTCTTATGTAATAGCGAATGTTGGAGAATCTACTCACAGATGAACAAGAAACTTGAAAAAAAGAAAAGTTCTGATGAAGGATAAACCCAGCATGTGAGAAACGATCAAGTTTTAGAGAAAATGCAAAAACAAGGACCCTTATAATTAACATCAGAAGCAGTTGAAGTTTCCTGGCACATAATGAGGAAAGAGGGCTTGGAAAATTTGATACTCACTGGATAGTTTGAAGGATACAGAGGAGAAAGGAAAACAACGCATAACCTAAATAGCAAAGTTGAGTAAATGGACGGAAGACTATTTATTAAGAAACTGTGGAGAGCCATGATTACCAACGTCCCGAAGTGACACAGCACATAGAAGAAGAATATATAATTTAAGAGTAAGAAAATATTTAATTAATAGAAAACAAAATAATATGAATCTAAAGCCTGAAACAAGAATTTACACTACAGACTGTAATAAATGTCACATGAAAAACATAGGCTTGACCAGTAGAAATTTAAATCAAATAATATATAAGCACAAAATTAATCATCATACTCACTGCAATAGTCGACCATCGACCATAATTTTGACTTAAAGAACGTAGTTTTAATTAAAATAAAAAGTGATTTATTAATGCGAAAACCTATAGAAAATGCTTTACTTCTGGTGCTTTCCATCGTTTTTTTTTTTTTTAAACAAAACTATTCTTATTAAATTGTGGAATATTTAAAAAGCGAAAGAGGTTTCCTTCGTCATGCATTTAGGCATACTGGATAACAGGGATTTGAAATTTAAACTTAAAGGTAAGCCAAGCGTTCCCTCAACCTAAACATATGATCCCAAACATAAAAGCAGTAATTATTCTGAAGATATTTTTGATGGCTGAAACACGCCACATATGATTTTCTCATTTTTTTCATTTATTTATCCTCCATAGGTCTAATAGTCTACCACATGAAATAATGAATAAACACCGGTTTAAAAACTACAAAGATGAAAACAAATGATCAAAATTAATGTATGGAACCATTTTTCACACACTCTTTTGAGTTCCCTCCTTGCAACATACATTTTCTGGTTTACGCTTCCAGCAATTTCTAGGTAGTGAGAATTTCCACAAAGAATTAATCGAATCAAAACCGGAAATCATCCTTTGGTGAAGCCACAGTTTGTCTGAAACAGAGAAATAAATATGTATAAGGTTGTTATAGACTTACATAAATAAATTATATAAACACACAGACACACACACACACACACACACACACACACACACACACACACACATATATATATATATATATATATATATATATAAATGCACGTATATATATATATATATATATATATATATATATATATATATATATATATATACAGTTTTGAAGTATGTTATATTTATGTGTTAAAGTTCTGAATACCAGGGATAGGGCGTATGTAAATATAAAAGTGGATATTGAAGTCAACACCCAGCGGCGAGAATTTGTTTCATGGTTAAATTCAATTTTCAGACCATCCCTCTCCCTTCCTCCCACCCTCCCTCTCTCTCTCTCTCTCTCTTTCTTTCTCTCTCTCTCTCTCTCTCTCTATATATATATATATATATATATAGGGTCCTATAAATAAATTGTCTAAATTATGCAAAAATTAAAATAACACTGTCATCTCGTTTTATTTACCAGAATTACACAAAAATGTCTTGAAATAAAGAGTAAATTTGTTCAATAAAATCGCCATTGGCTTCAACCCCGGCCTCCAGACGACTTCGGAATTTCTTGCAACTCTGTGGACGGTCTCCTTTTTTAAGTTAGTGAATGCTGCCATAATCCTTGTCTTCGGTTCATCTTTAGTGTTACAAGGAGGTTTGTTGGTCGCTCGCTCGCTCAACTGCGCCCCACACACAATAATCAAGAGAGTTGCACTCTGGGGAGTTAGGCGGCTAGATGTAAGTGCTGATGATGTCGCAGAAATTGTCTGACGGCCATGACTGAGTTCTCCTGCTTGTGTGGTATGGTGCAAAGTCCTGTTGCCAGACATAGGGTCTGCCAGCAACCACCGGCTTGACCTAGGGCAGCACTACATTCTGAAGCACTTGATGGAGACATCCGTGTTGAATCTGAAGCTTTCACGAACAAATTTGGGAGTTCTTTTTTTTATCAGAACGATTAGAGTGAAATTTAAGAACTGTTGGGACCTTCGTAATCTCATCCAACTCTTCCTGAATGATCTTTGTGATGATGCATTGTATTGAAAGTGTCTGGGTTCGATTTTGTGATGTGTCCCAGAAAGAACGAAATGGCCCTGCAGTGCATTCTGTTGTGGGCTCTTGTTCTAGATTCGATGAATTATTATAAGATGTATATATTTGAATTTTATTTTTAATACGAAAATTTTTTATTACTTTAAATGTTATTTTTAGTGGCTACATGTATTTGAATAGGCTATTGTTTTAATTTAAACAATATTTTATTTCATCTACTTGCCTGCATATTCGAGAAAACTTATTAATGAAACTCCTCCATCCGACAGTATTCAAACAGTAAGTACAACAATTTAAATATCTGTGGGGTGTTTTAACAGAGGGCAGAAAGGGCGATACCAAAATCCAAAGGTGCATTTGGATAGTGAAACATGCCTTCCAAAAGCTAAGCAAAGTATTAAGGAACAGGAAAACTGAAACTGTTACGTAATATCAGTCATCCTATATAGCAGTCAATTCTAGACAATCTCTTCACAGATGAAAAGACATGAGGAAGTGACAGATGAAATTTATAGGGAAAATAATGAGAAAAGAGAACTAAGGAAATTTGACACTCCCAGGACATATAGAAAGCAAGAGAGACATAGCAAAACAGCTCCAATGATACCCTTAAAATCGATCAGGGTTTAGGAGAGATAGCAAAAAGACAAGATTTGCTAAGTGCTGCAAAGAAAGGAAATTGTGAAGAGTCGTTATCGCCAACGTCCTGATCAGACATAGTAAAAAGAAGAAGACGAAGATGATGATGATGATGATGATGATGATGATGATGATGATGAATTCCAATTTTTATTGGGTGACTAAAAATAATGCTCTTTTCCTTGTCCTTGACTAGGCAAATTTAAATAATTATAATAGTTTTGGCTAAATTATAACTTTAATGTTAAAAAAATAGAAGATATTAAGAATAACAAATACAGCTGAGATTGCATCGTCTAATTCAGTCAGTTATGTACCATGCGTGATACAAGCTTAGGCTATCATGTATTTTTCGATACGTGACTGACGAGGCAGATTTTTTCCCGCAGTAGGTTGCCATTTCTTTCTGCGGTAGACCAGTTGCCATCCAAGGTTATAGAACCTGGTCTGTCCTCCTATCTACACACAATTAGGGAGAAGAAGAGGATTCATACGTTTCCCAGAGGTATTAGTACGTAAATGAATGTAATGGATTCGACTGGAATTCGAACATGCCAGGTACAATTATTTCATGACTTCATAAAAAAAGCATCTATTACTCGACCCTGTGGTTTG